ACCATTTCCACTGAGAGCTGATGTATATACCAGCTAATTAGCATTGTGGGTCTTCTGTGAACCCTTCTTGTTGCTATGGAAAAGCTAGTCTAGGAAATTCGTTGCTAATTAAATTCAGCTGTTGCCATTTCTTTACTACCAGGCCATCTGACCACTTTATTTCAAGTAAATCTTTCCCATTTGACTTTAGGAACAAGATATTTTGTAAGCCATACTTAGAAAGGATATTGAACTCATCCAGATGGGCTTGCCATGACCTGTCTTGAGCTTGTATAAAGTTTTAAGCTTGTATCATCTTGGATTTCCAAGAGAATATAGCTATGGTCTCAGAGGTCTAGGAGGAAATCTAAGAGCCTCCTAGAAACAGCGCCTGCTGAATTTAAAGGCCCTGAACCTGTGTTTAATCTTTATCTTAATAAATTTCACTTCTTTTGAAAATTTCCAAGTCCTCCTTGCATGACTTTTGTTTGTCTGAACGGAGCTTATGAAATGTAATTGATTTCTTGTTTCTTTAGGGATGGATCTTTACAGGTGACATGCACAGACCAAGAGACTGGAAAATGTGAAGCCATCACTGTTGAGGTTGCATCATAACTGTTTTAGATAGACCAAGAATTTTTTAGAACTACAATATCAACATTATTTGATTTTGTGTATAAGTGATGTTTATAATAAAATGTTTTTTCAATGCTATAAGCTATGTTTCTATTAAAATACAATTCATTAGTAAGTACTGGAGTCTGTTTTCTTTTTTATATAAGATTAACCATTATTAATGTAATTATTAATGGGACTTGTTCATGAAGCTATTTCCGATGTAAGTTGAAGTATTAAATGTTTTAATTTTAAAAGACTTCTGTTGATTTCTTGATAAGTAAGAGCATTTCAATGTCTATCAGGCTAACTGAAAACAGTTGCATACTGTAGTGTGTTAGCTTCTTCATCACTGTGACAGAATGCCCAGCAAAAGCTTACAAGGAGAAAACCATTGTTCATGGTTTCAGAGATTTTTGTCCATTATGATGGGGAGAACATGGCCCCATGCACATCATTTTAGACTGGAAGCAGACAAAGGAGTATGGGAAGGAACCAGAGCAAGGTAACGCTCCCAAGACACTTCCTTCAACCATGCCTCACCCATTTTCCACCCAGTTCTCAATAGTGCCATCATATCATGAATCCAATCCATTGAGTAGATCCAGTCCCTTCCCACCCAGCAGCTAACTCCTAATATACAAACCTTTGAGGACTATTTCATATTTAATCTGTAACATTCTGCCCCTGACCTCAAAGGCTTATGCCATCTTACAATGAAAAATGCATTTAGTCCATCTCCAAAAGTCCCCATAGGTTTAACAATACCAGCCTTCTTCAAAAGTCCAAATTAAAAATTTTAGATATTCAGCTGGACAGTGGTGGCGCATGCCTTTAATCCCAGCACTTTGGAAGCAGAGGCAATCTCAGTGAGTTCAAGGGCAGCCTGGTCTACAAAGCAAGTTCCAGGATATCCAGGACTATTGCACAGAGAAACCCTGTCTTGAAAAACAAAAAAAAAAAGGAAAAAGTTTGTTATACTCAAGACAAACTTAGTTGTCAGCCCTTGTAACTTTTGAAAAACAAGTTACATACTTCTAACATATCTGACTAAAAGTGATGAGACATAATCATACCATAGAATATTGGACTACATTAATTTTGTTCTCCCAAATTAGGAAACTACACTTTAATTCAGCCTTATACAAAATCTTAGGGCATGGGTTGTGGAAGTCTAGCTCCGACCTTTTGAAGGGTTCTTAGGTGGAGGAGGGAGGAATTGAGAAATGACAGAAAAAGAGACCTACCTGACAAGAAAAAAGAAACAGGATAGCTTCAGGAGAGTCTGGGTCAATATCCAACAGCCTTGTCCTAACCCACTTCCCAATAGGTTTCATTACCATCCTGAACCCAACTTTACTGTCCACATTCAGTCTTCCAAATTCTCATAGGAATTGACCATTTAACTGCTTACAGCATTCTAGGGCTCCTCTAGCCAGCATTTCTCAGTATTTCCAGATTCCTTCTGTACACCAATTCCAAAGTCTTACGGATTACATCACTGGGTAAAGATACAGAAATTACCTTAGTACCAATTTTCTATTAGCTTTTGCATCAGTGTGACAGAATGAATACCTGACGTCAACACATTAAAATGAGGGAGGCTGGAGTTCCAGGACAGCCAGAGCTGTCTTGAAAACAACCGATAAATAAATTAAAATGAGGAAGGGTCTATTTAGCTCGTGGTTTTAGAGATTTCAGTTCATCGTGGTCGGGAACTCTAAAGAGCAGCTCACATCATGGGAGACAGCAAGCAAAGGGAGTACTGCAATGGTCCAGTTAAGATACACCCTCTAAGGCTAGACCGCCAGTTCCTGTGTTGGCTACTCACTGTTATGACCAAAATGTCTCAGCGCATACATGAGGAATTACTTATGATGGCTCAGTTTCATTCTGGGCTCAAAATGAGACCAAACAGAAAGGAGCATAAAGAGGCTACTGACCTCATGGCAGTGGGCAGTATATCTAGATTTTTTTGCCCCCTAAGAGAAGAGTTTATATTGATTTCTCTCCTTGGTTCCCAAGCTTTCCCATAGGACATGGTAGCACACATCTGTAGTTGCAGCTATTGGGATGCTAAATGGGCAGGATTACATTAGCCCATGTGGGCGCCATGGGCCCTTGCCCCCGACTGTGAGTGGCTGCAGCCTTGCTTGCTGACCTTTACCAGATGTCCTCCCTATTCAGATTCCCTGCCGGT